GTGAAATTAAGTTTTGATTAATTCTAATTAGGGCAATTACTAAGCCGGCATTATTACGTGAGAACTTTGTACGTAATAATAATGTTTGTGATTGATGCTATATTTTGTGTGTGTTTATGCTTTTATGGTGAAAATGACGTGGAACGTAATGCGATTGGAAAACGATAAAAATGTACATCATCATAGCAGTTCGTATACCGTGGGATCTTCCCACGGTGAGCACCCTGCTCCTGCTTTCAAAACGACGCAGTTTGCATAAAAAAAATTAATTGAAAATTTTCACGCATGAACAGTATACGCGTGAACAGTAACCGTTTTTATTTTTTTATTGTTCCAGTAGCAGAATGATGTAACTTGCGTGTAAATAAATGTAACACACCTTAATAAGAAATGTCAATGCAAGCAAGTCGATATGTAACTTGTCTAAAACATTGATTTCAATGTAAATAATAAAAAAGGAATCTAATTGCTAAATAACTTTACTAAATGGTGAATATGTATTTTTTTTATATTAAGACCATAAAAAGTTTCAAAGAAATCAAGTTTTCCTCAAAAAATCATTTTTTATTACCAAACAAATTGATTCATTTTTTTTGTTTCAATAAAAGAGGTTTATTTTGTGATGTAACTCGTGTTATGAAAAATGTAATTCGGTTTGATATAAAATCTAACTTAGGTGTATGCAAAATGTAACTTGTTAAGGCAAACTCAAATGTGACTCTCGCATAAAAAGATATAACTCAGACATAATAAAATGTAACTCGTACATAATAATATGTAACTTCATATAATATTAAATGTAACTTGTTAAGAGAAGTCCAAATATAACTCGCACACATAAATGATGTAACTCGCGCACAGAAAATTGTAATTGCTAGTATTTTCGAATGTAACTTGAGTCAAGAAAAAGTAAATTGTCCAATGAATTTTTCTCAAAAGCACTCCACATCTAAATTATTAAGGTTTATTGCTCTTTCCAGTACCACAAAAATAAAAAATTGAAGAATAATGTCAACAAGGCAAGGCAGCAACGTTGAGAAAGTTAGAAACAATCATAGCCGCTGAATCCAACATCTGATGTTAAATCAAAGGAAAAAAATTGCTTTTAGTTTTAGAAGGGTTGTGGCGTTGTGCGTAGATCAAAGCTGGTTGAAAGCAGAGCTTGAAGAATGTGAGGCATAAAGTGCTCCAATCGGGTATGCTCTGGTTTGTTTGCGTCGGTGCTCTTAACAGCTGCGGTGGAAATAGATCGATAGATGTTCTGTTAAATAAAGTGGTGTCGTTTTGGGATCGGCACACAGTGCTCACGGTGTGCCGATACCACGGTATAATTTGCGTCATCATAGTGGGTGTGTGGTGCCCCCTCACCTCGTTGATTACAACTCAATGAATCGCGGCCGTTCACTTTTGCTAAATTATTGACGGAGTACTACTACTAGAGTACTAGTAGTCTAGGGTCCGGATAATAGAACAAGCTCGGATCACATATGTGAAAACACGAAAAAGTAGGATAGAGATACAGAAGTTTATTACTCCGTAATAAATATTACGGAGTAATAATTATGAATGTGTATTTATTAATATTAAAAGTTATGAACATGCATTCATAAATATTATAAATTACAAGATCTTTTTGAAAATATATACATATATTGGGTATGTTTGGCAAATGGCTTATCAACCAACTTTTAGCCTGTTTGACCAATATTAGTTGTTTCATTAGTCAAAATATCCAATATTTATGTTTGGTAGATGACTTTTTAGATTGGCTTGTTGAGTCCCAAAAGCTGAAAAAATGGCTCGTAGGAGAAGCCAAGGAGGGCAGCGTTTCTATCCGGCTTCTTCAGATTTTCCCACCGGGGCTATACGGCTCCAATGTCCAAAGTAACTTTTTCCTTAGTTAGCTTAAGTTTACGTAACTACTACGTAATTGTTTTGCAGTTCTCTCTTTTTGTTTCATTCTTTTGGCATGAGTTAGCCTTTTCTAATACGTACGTAGTATATGCTTAACTAACATATTACTCCGGTATATTATATTATATTACTACGTATTAGTTATGCCTTTTCTCTTGAATTAAAATAGAATTTATTCAACACATTTTAAAAATTACAAATACTATCGTATTCAAATGATTTATTTATATCTATGAAGTAAGAGTAGTTATAAAATTTTCATTATTAACAATGATAAAATACTTATTACAATAAGTATTATCATGTCTTTATATGTCTTTTTACACTCTATCAGCCATTTTGAAACAGCCAATTTTATCAAACAATTATTTATAACCAGCTGACATAATCAGACGGTCAAAACAGCTAACACAACCAGCTATTAGGAAACAGTTGACACAACCAGCTAACAGCAACAGCCAACAGTCATTTGCCAAGGCCATAAACATAGTCAATAAGTTATTAATTTAAAATGAGTAACAAGTCAAACGAATCACAATTTTGAATTTAAAAGTCCAAGTATTTAAAGTTCTTGGATAATGAAGATAAAAACAATACTCTAATATAAAAACTAAAAGTTATAATACAAATCTTGCACTGAAGCATCTTGGATAATGTAAACTTTATTTTTAGTTTTTCATTTTTTTTTAAATTTTATTATTTATATTTTGGTTGTTTTTTATAAAAAAAAAAGGTTGATATGTGTATCCGTCAGGATACGGGTATACGAAATTTTAAAATAATTACCAAAAAAGTTAAAATGTTTCAAAAATTGCAGATACGACCCAGGAACGTACGAACGAGTATCATAGAGTATCTAATACGGTACTCTAATGAAGTATCCGTGCTTCATAGCATATCTCAAGTCTCATAATGGGTCTCACATCTTGCTCGCCCTGTTTTGGGTTTCCTCATTTTATACAAAATACCAGTACACTTGCAAATTAGTTATCAAGTAACAACATTCTTAGAAATTGTTTGCAATTGCTTTTGCCTTAAAAATCACTTCTTAAAGTCATTTTAGAAAAAAAGTGCTTAATAGTAAAAGTTGGTAAAATTTAAGATTTTATTTTAAAAGTAAAAGTTGGTAATGTTTGGTAAAGTATGTGCTTTTTGTGTAATAGAAAAACGAAAAAAAAGTGTAATAGGAAAACGAAAAAGCAGGTTTTCACTTTTAGCTTCTATAAGTTGTCACTTGAAAATACCCTTTTCAGTTTTTTTAAGCCAAATGATGAAAATCACTTTTTTTTTATCTCTTGCAAGCATACGCTTAAACTAAATAAAAATCAGTGTTACAATAATATAGTAAACATTCATGGTAAAAGTCTAAAATAAAATTTGGAAATATGGTAAATGTAATGTATGTATATATACGGAAAAGATCACCTCGAGGAGTTCTTAAGGGAAGCCCCGTCTGAACTTGCTCGTTTGAGTCCTTACCGGTGAAATTTCTTAATGATTTTTTTTTGCATGTTCTTCATCAAGTCTAGTTTATGTCCACAAAATTTCAGTTTAAAATTCAATCGTAAAGGTAGATAAAAAAAAATTATTGAAAAACACTGGGTTTTTCGTCTACAATTTGGCGCAATGGTTTCAATTGTGCTCCTATACGCCTCAACTTCTCGAAAGGGGGCAATTGTTAGGCTGGCGATCGATTTAGTTAAAATAAGTTGATATTTATCATGTTGAGTGAAGTGGAGTATATGTTAGAAGTAAAAATTAGCGACCAAGTCCACCAATCATCCAAACGTGCAGATAGAGTTGTTTAACACAAATTCGGCTTTGATGGGAGAAAAATCTGCCCACTAAGGATGTTTTTTACTTGGATTGTAATTTGTTGGTCTGATCTGTTTAAGTTTGATTTGATCTGGTCAGTGTAAGTCTAATCTGGTATGGTCTGGTCTGAACTGATCTGGTCTGGTAAACGTCTGATCTCTTTGTATTTTATAACTACGGAAATCAAGTCTGGTCTGGTTAAATCGGGTCTGGTCTGGTTCAAGTAAAAACATTAGCTGAACATTAACAAAGGAGATATTGATGATCATCATTATGATTGTCTCTATTTTATTTCTTTCTCAGAGCATCTCCAATGGTAAAATGTGCACAGTGCACACGTGACACGAGAAATAGCCACATAAATATTACTACCTCCGTCCCCCTAAGTTTGGCACAAGAGAAGGTGACACGATTATTAATAAAAGTGGGTTTATGTGGTTGATATTGAATTGATAAAGTAAGAATAAAGTAGGAATGATTTAGAACGACACAAACTTTACCAAATAAGGTATGAGACAATCTTAGTGGGACGGACCAAAATGGTAAAATGGAACAATCATAGCGGGACGGAGGGAGTAGTAAATAAATTCTTTCTCTCCTTATTTGAATGATTTTATACAGTTTTGATAAGTTTTTCTCCACAATATCCAGGAGACCGTCTAAATGTTGACATTGTTGTTGACATTGCAGGGAAAAACTTACCAAAATTATATAAAATCATTCAAATAAGCAGAGAAATAATTTATTTGCTAATATTTATGTGGCTATCACTCATGTCACATGTGCACCGTGCACATTATAACATTGGAGATGCTCTCATAGTTAAATATATTTCGTGTACGTAGTCTAATATAATTTCCTTATCTATTTGATTATTTCAATTTACATAAAATTGCTAAAAACTCATCCTTTTAATACCATTTAATCGATTTAATAATATTGGTGTCTAAACTCATCTTCTCTACCGTTAAATCGATCTGATCCTAACAAAAAAAATTATTAGCTCTCCAATAATACACACAAAATTATTGGTGCTACCAACTAAATGTAACATGTACTCGCGGGTTTATAAAGCTAAGAGGCTCCGTGAGTTCGTGCCCACATAATGTACGGTGTTTTGTTGTTATTCTAACTTATCCTGGACTTCCGTATGACCCAAAAAAAAAAAGTTATGGACTTCCGTCGCATGTGACTTGTCGCAAATACACATCCGAGCATCATATCATACCATCATTTCTCACAAATTAAAGATGAGATTATTATTGCAGTCCATCCTTCACAATTATTGAGTACAAAAAGCTAGAGGTGGACAAATGGGTACAAAAACCACTAGATAAGCCCGATAATACATGTTCGAAGCAGGTTAGGGTCGAGTCCTAATTTTAAAAAACTCAAATGGGACAGGTGGGTCCTAAAAGTTAGGAACCATACGAGTATTAAAATATATTTGAAATATTAATACCGTTTTAAAATGTTTTTTTATAAAAGTTTATTATATTTAATACTCTGACATTTTTTTTGAAGAAAAGAAAGTTTTACGATAATATTAATGAAGAAGTTAAACGAGATTTGTAATGAGATAATGGGATACTTAGGACAATTCCGGTTTTTCTTCCTAGTGAGAGCTTAGTGTTAGTAGTTTCGCCGTCTTGGTGCGGCGCGATTCTTCGACGCGGAGTTGCGTCGCTTGGCTTCGAATGGATAGCAGGGGCAGCGAAATGATGGAGGACGAGGTAGGAGAGGAAAGCACGGATGATCGAGCCCAGGTGGATAATCTCGTTAACAAATACGGAGGGCTGGGAATTGAAGGAATCGAGGATGAATTGCTGATTGAAGACGATGAGGAGGGGGGGAAGCGACGATCGGGGCAGTGAAGACGGGGGAATTTCCGATTGTTGGGACGATTCTCACGGACAAAACCATTAGATTTCCGTTCTTCAGGGATTTCATGGCTGATTTATGGTGTCCGGGCAAAGGAATCTCAATACAAGAGATTGGCGAACAGAGGTATCTATTTAAATTTTTCCACTTTGTTGATATGAATCGTGTTCTGGATAATGGACCCTGGCTTTTTGACTAGAATTTGATTGTGTTAAAAGCGATTAAACCGGGGGATATCCCACTTAAGGTGTCGCTAGATGAGTTTGAGATCTGGGTACAAGTTCATAATGTGTCGTATATTTTTGAAAATCTGGGAACGGCGAGAAGGATTGGTAATCATCTGGGTCACTTGGGATGATAAACAATTTGATAAGAAGAGGGAATCTTATATGCGTGTGAGAGTCTGCATGAACGTGAGTAAAGCTTTAAAGGTTGGGAGTTTGGGACCACTCTAAAAAAGAGTAAGGGAGAAGGGTACTGGATAGATTTTAAATATGAGAAGCTCCCAAGCTTCTGTTTTTGTTGTGGAGTTATTGGACATGCTGAGAAATGCTATCCTCTTCTGTACAAAAAGGAGGGGCAAGCTTTGACTAGACCATTTGGGCTGTGGCTAAGAGCGAGTGGACGGAAATCGAAGCCTAACATGGGTAGCAAATAGTTGATTTCGGAGGGAAGTTCATCAGGAGGTGGCAAGAACACAACACGTATGGTGAGGGTAATGCAGGACATGGACCCGGATGAGGCAGGAGAGAGCACTCAAGCTGGAATGGGGAATGCCATGATTTCAGGTGAGACACAAGAGACAGAGGGGCCGGGAGAGCTGAAGAGAAGACGCACTTGGGAGGAGCAGGCCAGGGAGGAAGCTGCTAAGAATGCTATGGTGCTGAACTCCCCAAAAAACGGGGTTGGGGCGGGCACTGGGCTCCAGCCCCGCCAGATGATTTGATGTTGGTTTCGGCTTTACTAGCTGAAAAACTTATTCACTCTTTCTGTTTTGCTTTGTTTATTTCCCACGTTTTGGATGCTTTTTTTGTTTTGTTTTGGTTGTGCTGGGTTTTTCCAACAAAAAAAACTTGTGAAACTAAGACACAGGATGAGGAGTCGTGTCTGCAAGTCATAGGCTCAGGTAAGCCCAAAGCAGGATCAGAGAATTATATGGCTTCTACGGAGGTGATTAATTCAAAGTTTGGTCCTTGGGCCGACGGTAGACGGGAGACTTGTTGTCACTTTGTAACCTGTTTTGGTTTGGTCCATTTGGTTATGATTAATTAGGTCAGTTTCGTTCAAAAAAAATGAAAAAGTTAAACGAGAGAACAAGAAAGAAAGATGAAAAAAACCTAGAGAACTAGAAAAGAAAAAGGATCTTAGCTAAAAGCCAACCCAAATTACTTCCTAAAAAATCATGACTCATGCGTGATTATGATCAATTAATATTAATATACGTAGTAATATACTAACAACATTCAAAATTTCTTCATATTCACGAGTCTATTAAAAAGAGTTTCAAAATCCATATAAACTTCTAAATTATTATCTTCAATCTTTATTCGAAATGCATCAATTTTTTTGTAAACAAAAAGACTTTGGCTCAATTAAGTGTGACATATTCATTTAATTACCTTATTTTTACTTACATTTTGAGATTTATTAAACTTTAAATTGTTCTCTTAAAAATATATGTATAGTGACTAGCTAGTCTAATTTCTTCTTTGTGGTGCTATCTTTTTAGTTTATGGATGATGCTGTCTAATCTAATTTTCCACATTTCTAGGTTTGGTAGGATTTAATTTCAATGATTGTGTGCTATTTAATTTATTATAGATTTGTGGTTAAATATTTTGTTTACTAATTCAAAACTTTGTTTTATATTTTTATTTTAAATTTTTACTATATTATGGTGACATTGATACTTAATTAGTTTGAGAATGTTATTACTTTCTAGATATTTTGTTAGCATATATAGCGACTTTTTTACAAAAAATAAGAATTGAGAACCCGGAGCGAACCGGCCCGTTTCAAACTGGGGTGGGTAAGGTCAGGTTCTTATTTCGAGACTTGGTATACCCGGACCGAACCTACTCATTAAATGGAACCGACGGTTCATGAAAATTTATCAATTGCCCTGACCAACCCGGACCATGCTCACCCCTACAAAAAACTACTCTCTCCCTGGAATTTAAAGGTTTTTACACTGTTTACGATGTTTGATTGACCATAAAGTTAAGTAATCTCTGTTAACAATAAAAAAACTAGTAAAATATTATATATTCGGAAACTATATCGAGATTTTTATATAGTCGCATAAAAATTAAATTTGATACTACCAAAAAGTTAGATAACAATTTACGTTGACTAGGAAATAATTAAAGAGAACCGTGGAATGGAGGTAATATATATTTTGTATATTGACTATTTAGTCCTGAAAAAATGACATGTATATTACAGTAACATAGTTTCCTCGGAGAAAAAATATGATTAGTTATTTTTTTGGACAAATGTATAACTAGTCACTCTGTACAAGTAACATTTTGGACAAGAGTCATTATAGTGTGTTTAAGAATGACAAGTAACTGGTAGATGACGAGTCACTGTGAACTTGTCATTAAATATGTCACTTTTTGGAAAATTTTAAAATTAGTCATAATTTTATCTTTTGAATTTAATTTAGTAATATTCATGGGAAAGGTCCTTAATCCTTAAAAATTTGAGTTAATTGAGTTGATAATATCCCGGGGGTCCGGGACTGCATCTCATGCTCCCTCACTCTCCCTCCGTGACAAAGATTTCTTCCATTTTCTGAAAAACATTGTCAATCACCGAGGTCAAAGTCAAAATAGAGACAATTTCAAAGGCCATTTTCCAAAGTCAAACCAAAGGTCATAGCTGGTCTAAGCTACACTCCAAATTAAAGGTCTAGAAACTTGCAGAAGAATTAAATCAACCCCACTTCAACGATCCATATCCAACAATCAACAATGGATGCCCTCCTCTAGCTCATCGTCATTGTGTGATCATCAACGTGCTGAATTTTCAAATGATGAGCTTGTGGTAAGTTCTTCTAATTCAAATTTCATTGATCAAATACGTTATTCAGAGGATAAAATCTCTTTCTTGAGTGATGAACGTATACTTATTAATGAATTAGAAGTCCGCATAGCCAATAATGAAAGTGTCCTCAGAAAACACTTGGTTGAACAATCTTATGTCACGATTCATTTAACGAATGTACAAAATTAAAACACAAAGCTTAAGTCAAAATTAGAAAACTCAGAAGCACGAGTGTATGATTTATCTAAGCAATTGGAAGCTTCTCAACTTGAACGTATCACAACAACAACCTCTTTTGAACATCTTCAAACTGAACGCTATAATTTATATTCTAAGATTAAGGAGTTGGAAGACTTACTTGCTAAGCGAGATTAAAATCATCAAATAGATCAAACAATTTTCTTAAACTAACCAAGAGACACCACATTCTACAAGCTCAAGGAAGGCTTAGTGACGAGCACTTTGTCACGGTGCGTTAAAATAAATTCAATACTAGCACTAATACGTAGCATGGTGAAGTAGAGTTCGTATCCACAGGGAAAAGAATAATTTTCTTTTTATGAAACTAGTAAATAAAAGGGGGGTTTTGGGATTGTTGGAATTTAATTAATTTAAACACCAAGATGAACAACTTATATGTGATTTAATTCAAAGATAAAAAGAACTTGATCTTGCTACTTTCCACTTGTTGATATATTTTAGTCGATCATTGTTATATCTATAACTTATCCCCTCTCGAATACTCAATCGAGGAGTATCTCTAATTCATCGAGTGTAGTTATTAACAATGACCGTTCATTAATAACTCTTACTATTAATCAAATATAGAACAACGCCGTATGACTAGGTCACAGTCCAGAGATTTCACTTGGGAATAACTCTTTTTTTTTTCTTTTTATGTATTTTTTCTGAAATTTCCTTTTTGGCACTGTACTATCTCCTTTTATCAATAAAAAAAATAAAGAACAAAAAAAAGAACAACACCGTATACTGATTTAATCTCTTAACTCCTTGATGAAATCAATTGAGATTGATAACCTCAACACAACGGTTTCGGTTTAACCAACAAAATTAATCCCTCTTAAGTTTATTAACCACGGCCATGCATTAATAAACCGAAGTTACTTACTTGTGAAACCATCGACGATTAACCATCGGTTCGTTGATCATTTCTAGTAGTAATTAATGTCGAGATGTTAACTAATTGTCATCTTAGCAAAACTCCCCAACATTAATATAGAGATAGATTAAGGGAAGAATTAATATTCAAGGGAAGAAGTAAAGAAAATAACTCACAACTTTAATAATCAACAAACTTCAAGAGCAACACCAAGAAATGGAAGTTTAGCTCCTCATTTGGAGACTAAACATGCTAGAAAAATATAAAAGAAATGATATTCTAAACTGAGCTTAAGAGTATGGAAGAAGGAGTGATTATTTGTGAAGGAAAAGTGTGCTATTTATAGGTGTTTTTCAACACCTTGGGCCGGGTACCCGACCGGTTCAAGTGCTTACCCGACCGGGTGCATGTCAAAATCAGATAATTTTCCACGTTCTTGTGTTTCAAGACGTCGTTTTGTCCCGGGTCACATCTGATCGACCGGGTGAAATACCTCACCCGACCGGGTGATTGTAGTTTCCAGCCACCTTCGCTTTACAATGTCTTACCCGACCGGGTGATTGTCCTGGGTAGCCAATAATCATTTTTCTTCACTTCAAAGTCTTCCTTTCCAACACCATAAATCCTAACTCTACTTTACAACTTACAAATGAGAACTAAAATACAATTACAACTAAAATCACACAAATGTTTACAAACTAAATAAAATGGTAAACAATCCACACAAATCAAACATAAAAAGATACATTTATGCACTACTAATTAGTGCATATCAAACACCCCACACTTAAACCTTTACTCGTCTCGAGTAAACCAAATTGTGTCCAAGAAGTCCTCAAAATGACAAGAGTATCAACACAACCATCCAAGTGTGTTTTTAGAACAACACAAAAAATATCCCCAAAAATATAAGAGTAAAGAGGGGTCTTTAACTCCATATTTCTTATCAACCTTAATTTTTTTCGTTACCCTTAGGATCCTGCAGAAATAGAAGAAAATACTTTCTCTCATTCTCTCATTCTCTCAGCACCATAGGCAAAGAAAATACTTTTTCTTTTCTAGTTCTCTAGGTTTTTTTCATCTTTCTTTCTTGTTCTCTCGTTTAACTTTTTCATTTTTTTTGAACGAAACTGACCTAATTAATGAGTAAAGGGTCAGTTTGGTCCTCGAAGTTGCAAAAAAGGCGTCAAATAAGTCCTTATATAGAAGATTCTGTCCGTACGTGCCATTTGAGGTGGCTCCCTGTGGAATTTTGTGATGATTTTTTTTGAGCATCTTGTTCATCAAGTCTAGTTTACTCATACCAAATTTCAGCTAAAAATTCAATGGGGAAGACATTCAAATGAATTCTTGAAGATAACAGCGCTTTTAACGGCACAGTTATCTTCAAGAATTCATTTGAATGTCTTTCCCATTGAATTTTTATCTAAAATTTGGTATGAGTAAACTAGACTTAATGAATACGATGCTCAAAAAATTGCATCAAAAAATTCCACCGGGAGCCACCTCAAATGGCACGTCCGGACAGAATCTTCTATATAAGGACTAATTTAACCCCTTTTTTGCAACTTCGAGGACCAAACTGACCCTTATCCCCCTAATTAATCATAACCAAATGGACCAAACCAAAACAGGTTACAAAGTGACAACAAGTCTCCCGTCTACCGTCGGCCCAAGGACCAAACTTTGAATTAATCACCTCCGTAGAAGCCATGTAATTCGCTGATCCTGCTTTGGGCTTACCTGAGCCTATGACTTGCAGACACGACTCCTCATCCTGTGTCTTAGTTTCACAAGTTTTTTTTGTTGAAAAAACCCAGCACAACCAAAACAAAAAAAAGCATCCAAAACGTGGGAAATAAACAAAGCAAAACAGAAAGAGTGAATAAGTTTTTCAACTAGTAAAGCCGAAACCAGCATCAAATCATCTGGCGGGGCTGGAGCCCAGTGCCCGCCCCAACCCCGTTTTTTGGGGAGTTCAGCACCATAGCATTCTTAGCAGCTTCCTCCCTGGCCTGCTCCTCCCAAGTGCGTCTTCTCTTCAGCTCTCCCGGCCCCTCTGTCTCTTGTGTCTCACCTGAAATCATGGCATTCCCCATTCCAGCTTGAGTGCTCTCTCCT